ACATATCCAAAACTGAACTTATTATCCCCACTACCCCAGTCCCTTGCTAAAATTCACTCCTTCTCATACGTTTTCCAACTCAGTAAAGAGCATCATAGTATCCCTAACCATTAACCTGGGAGTTATCCCAGATTTTTCTCTCCCTCTTACTTCCTTAGTCCATTTTGTGTTGCTATAACAGAATACCACAGACTATGTAATTTATTTGGCTCACAGTTCTGAAGGCTGGGAAGTCCAACATCGAGGGGCTGCATCTGGTGAGGGCCTTTTCCCTGCATCATTCCTCAGTGGAAAGCAGAAGAGCAAGAGCATGCATGTGTGGGCAACAGAGGGAAAGAGGCCGAATTCACCCATTTTGCCAGGAACCCACTCCTGAGATAACTAACCCACTGCTGCAATAATGGCATTAATCTATTCTTGAAGTCCGAGCCCTCATGACCTAATCACCTCTTAGAGGTTCCACCTTTCAATACTGTTGCATTGGGGATTAAGTTTCCAATACTTGAAGTTTAGTGACATATTCAAACCATTGCTCCTCCCCTATCCTCTCAGTCTCTAAGTTCTGCTAACTGTAGCTCCCAAATATCCTCAATGTTCTCCTGTTCTCCCCACTCCTATTCCCCTCCATCATTTCTGTCCCTCATCACTACCACTTGCCTTTGGTCTCAAATGCCTTCAAGCCCCCTTCTACCCAGCAGCCCAAATCATCCTTCTAATTTCTGGATGTGATCACATTACTCCTCTGCTCAAAATTCTTCAGCGGCTCCCCACTGTTTTCAGGATAAAGTCTGAACTCCTGCAGCTGGGTCACAAAATTCACTCACGTTATGCTCAGATGTGCAACAATATAAGTCTCTGTTTCCTATAACTGATCTGATCTTTCTCACAGTGACCTCACTCTGCTGGGTAATGGGGAGAGGGGGGAACTAAAATGAATCAACTCTGGTAAAGTCTGTAGGATCCAATAATTTATTTTAGACAGTTTCTAAGTAATTCTGTAGTTTTGGATGACTCAGTCTTTCAGATTATTTGAACCTTCCCTTTCTTTTCAAGGTAGCATCTGGATTTATAAGGATCTTATGTGAATTTCATAGCATGTGGGGAAGAAGCCCCTTAGCCACATGGTCCTTGGCGTTGTGTCAGCTGGCATTTGCTGAGATGTGGTTGGTCTGGTATAAATGGATTAGTGAATAATAACCTTGAGAGGTAGCTATTACTATAACCATTTTACAGATGAAGTTGAGGCTAAGAGAGGTTAAGTAACTTGCCTAAGGTCACCAAGTTAATAAGTGGCAGAACCAGGAATCAACACCACCCTGATTACAGTAGGCACTTGGCTATACGATTCTGTAATTTCGAAGAGAAGACAAGACTGGATTTGGGAGCACTGGGAATCTTCATGTGTCTTCAAGGGATGTAATCGTCCTTGGAGAGTATGTAGAGTGAGATGAGGGCCCAGGCCAGAACACTTAAAAATCACTGGCATGTGAGGGTCAGGAGAAGGCGGCCACCTGACTTCCTTGTCCACACTATCTTCCTCTCAGGAGAGCTTCTAGGATGTTGACAGGCAGGACCCCCACCACGCCTGGACCTATTCCAGCCAAGGCTGAGCCATCCCTCACTCTCTGACAGCGCAGCAAAGCACAAGCCTGCGACCAACACTGGGTGGGAGCTCAGTAAATGTGTCCAAAAGAACTTGTGTTGCCAGAGATTTTCACACCTCTTAGGGCCAGGGAATGTGCGACCAACTACAAACCCTGTAGAGTGGAGATGCAAGTCCACACCTAGGTGGGAGTGGGACTTTCGAGACTACAGGGGGCTTCCTATATGAGGAGGTTCACTTTCTTCCCAGACGTGGGGACAGAAGTTCTTCCTCAAGACGCAGGTGTGGGATGACGAGGACAAAGAACTCTCCCAGATGCAGAGGGGTGGTCTTCTCAGATATGGGGGTACAGAGGCCCTGGCCTTCTTCAGATGTTAGGTCTCCCAGACGCAGAAGATGCAACAGATCCCTGAAGCCTCGCCCGCACCCCCCCTCCCGGGACGGATCAAGACAGAGCCCCTTCGGCACCTCCCTCTGCCCCGCCCCTCCTGCACATGGGGTGGCCAGTCCCACCCCAGCACACAGCCAATAGCGCGGGAAACTGGCTCGGCCAGCCAATTGAATAGCGGCAACAGCACGGGGGGGGACGGCTCCGCCCCCGACAGGCCACAGGCCGCCGGCCTGCCAGGAGGCGGGGCTCTTCTCTGCTTTTTGCGGCCGGCCGAGCTCGGCCGAGCCCGGCCGAGCCCA